ATTTTCAGATGAGAGAGAGAGAGATAGACTATATAATAGAGAATATATATGAATATATAGATTCAATCCAATTTTCTCCACTTCAACGGTTGAAACATTAAATGAATTCATGAAATGATGATTTTAACGCTTGATGGATGATGTGAATGTTGAAATTGAAGTCAAGCCATGATACTGCATCATCGATACGTGTGGACAAGTGAATGACGAAAACAGAAAAAAAACATGTTTTGAAACCTGTATGATGTAGTGTGTCATGTCAGTGTGATTAGTATCTTCGAAAATTTCAACATTTCGTCAAGCTCACGCATACACTGTTCGTCGATTCAATGGCAAAAATACATGTGCAACGTTCACACTCAACACTCCACTATTGCTATAGCTTTTGCTACGTTCGGCTCATCCACGAGCGTCAGCAATTCAAAAGATTTGAATGTTCCATCAAAAATGTTCTTTTTTCCTTGTCTCCTGCATGTCGATTTCTTACAGCTCTTCGCCGGTTGACTGCGTTTAACGACGACACATTGAACTTGCGGGATGATAAAGAAGAAGGGGCAGTAGCAGTAGCAACAGCCGAAGCATAACGTTCAACAATCCTCACAAACACACACACACACACAGACACCATTTCTATTCAATAAACGTGCGATGCGTCGAAAATGATTATGAGTGTAAACAATGACATCCAATTTTTTAGACTTCATTTCTGACTTGACAAATGATGGAAAATAAATATAAGGAGCGAAAATACATTTTTGTCAAAAGGATTCGTTCGGCGTGAAGATGCGATGACAAGAAAACGAGAGTGGTGTAAGAGTGAAAGCGAACGGGGATGCGGGTGAGTTGTATAAGAATGTGAAGGATATAGCATGGAGTTAATTCTTGAAGTATATACACGCACGGAGAAATGGAAAGAGGGAGAGAGATGAAGAAAGGGAGAGTTAGAGAGGGGAAGAAAGAAGAAAAAAATTGAAACGAGAATAATAAATTTAGTATTAAGTCACACATAAATATCTGCAAATCGTTGGCATTACAGCAAAGATGCTTTTGAGAGCCGAACAAAGCGAGCTTAAGTGAGCGCACTGAGCATTTGGTTCGATTGGACAAAGGGTATGAGGCCGACATGGATCGAAAATGGAATGCATCTAAATTGGTTTGATTTTGTTGCAACAATGTATATTTAACCCGAAAGCACATTGTGTCCAAACATATTTGTAGGGCTGGGATTTGGATTGAAATTTCAAATAGTGGAGGCATTTGCATCAAATGACAACAAAAAAAGATTATTGCTGGCATTATTGCCGCTATCTATTGCATCATCTCTGTGTGTGTGCGGGTATGGATTCGAAGTTGGTGGAATTTTTCAGCGTTTCAGCTGATTTTGAACTACCAATTTATATACGTTCCATACTGTGTCTCTCTAATCTGATTATGTGCAAATGATGCAGTAGTAGCAGCAGCAGCAGCAGCAGAAGCAGCAGCCAAGAGTAAATTTCAACGCACGCCACATACACACTTGATGTTTGTATGCCGAGTGAATTAATGATAATTGGTTTGTATGATAATGCCTAATCCAATCCAATAATGTCTGCTTCAGGGTTTAAGCAATTGGCAAGAGCCCCTCCATTGAGATCGTCTCTAACTGCGCTCTCTGGCTGCATATGAAGACACATGATTTTTGCTTCATACACACAATGTGGTTAAAAATGAACGGAACACACACACACACACACCGGATCATCTTCAGGCGGTCCGTCTAAGCACGGATGAATGAAGCGATAAAGACCGAGAGTTAATCAATGGAAAGGTGGTGAATGTTGGAAAATGATGGCGTAGCCAGAAAATCAGTCAGTAAATTGTGATAGATTTAATTAAAATATATTGGCAAAGCGGTAATAACGTGTGTGTGTGCGAGTGTGTTTACGATGGGTGAATGTTCCTTTTATCCATTGCTCGTCGATTTTAATATCGTCGAATTGAGTTGGAATTCAATTCACACATGAAGACGACACATACCGGATTTTGTTTGTGCAGCAGGTGAATGAAATGTTTGGTTGTGCGAGACAATTTTATTGTGATGATAGTGGCGAAATGGTGTAACGTTTGCAATTGGCGATGAGATTAAATTAAAAATATTTGATCGACAAATTACTTCCAGACATTCCGTTTGGCTGCATATTGAGCTGAGCTATTTTCAAATAG